CAGAAAGGTACTGGAAGCACATATATATAAGTGTATATTTTTTTAAAAAAATGGAATGAGTTATTGACCCTACTTCTAAATAATGTTTTTTCTTAATTCAATTAATAAATAAAGATGTGTCTTGAAATTATTTTATTTAAGTCCCTTGTAATATGTTTATTGAGTTCTTATGCAGTATAGGTGCTTAATAAGCATATTATGGGCGACATGACACGTCTTAGAGTGGCGTAAGGTGTGACATTAGCAGCTTTGGCTAGACTTGTCCCTGATTCAGGAAGTTTGGTATGTTCCAAAGTAATCGAATTAGTTGGAGGAGCAAAAGTGGGTGTGCCTTTGCTCAGAGGTGGAGGCATTTCTACATTTTTTTCATTCTCTTAACACAAGTCCACCTCCTTCCTTCTTTACCTGAGGGAGGCTTTGCTTTCTCTCTTCTTTCTCCTCTTCTCCTCAAGCTTTTTCACAAAATCTCTGCTAGCCATATATGTCGAATAAAGCAAAATGTTAAAAGTTGTTCAGGACTATACAAATGAAAAGCCAATTATATACCTTCTTGATTTTTTCTTCTCTGGCGTTTTCCCGAGCAAATCGAGGCATACTCTAATGCAAGGAGATCTAAAAGATGAAGGGGTTTATTGGCATACTCGTCAAGAGTATCTATGCTTGTCTTCTCCCCATTAGTTAATAATTTATCTTCCCGAAAAGTTGGGGCAGTTCGGGATAATAGGTGTTCACACTAAAATCTCTTGAACTTCTCACTATGAAGAATTTCTCTTTCTATCTCCCTTTTATGGATCTGGGCATTCCCTCAAATACACTAAGACCACCCAGGGCAGAAAGATGAGGATGATCTTCTTTTTAACGATTTGTTAAAGAATACAAACCATTAATCACATAAGGGAAAATTCCAACTTAGCTCGGTGAGCTAAGATGCGTAGCCTGAGCATTATCCTAATGTTGTTTAGGGCGAGCTGCAACACAATGATACCGAGCTAATTAAGATAGTCACATAAATATGCTTGGAGAGGAAGGCGAACACTAGCTCTTAGATCTTCCTCATACAAGATAAGAAACTTAGGACTTTGTTTGGAATTTGCCCAAACACTTTCACTAACAAGAAGTAACTCAAATTCTTTGGGCATGGAATATTTTATTCTTAGTCTTTTCATATCATCTTCCTTAAATAGTGAACTTAATTCTGACACTCTATTCTCCCTTTTTACGCTAGTTTTGTTCCTTTTTGCAGGCTTTTTAGCTTTTGTTTGAGAGGGAATAAGGTTGGGAGTTCTACAGAGGTGAGGGCGAGTATTCCTATCCTTGATAATAATGGTAGTGCTCAAACCCTTTTAGGGGTTATCCTAGAGGTTTGGTCAACCACCTCCATGGCAGCTAAAAGACAACTAAAAGGAAAGTTGTTTGATTTTGTGGCTTCAGAGCCTAAAGAAGAAGAAGAAGAAGAAGAAGAAGAAGAGGCTTCAATGACAATGGCCTTTCCTTTTCTAGAAAAGGGAGCATCAGAGCTCGTGATGAAGAAAGCAAAGTGCAAACAAAAGAAAAGACGAAAAGGCAAATAGAAGGGGAAAAAGTTACCTCTTGGAAAATCTTGCAGGAAATTGCAGAAGAAAATGAAAATGACAGTGAAAGAGCTTCAAAATTGACAGAGGGCGCTTCAATCTTCAATTTATAAACAGGAAAAGGAACTAGAAAAGACGGCAGGAGAGAATGGAACGTCAATAGACGCAAAGTTGAAACAGGGGCACCCCTTAATAATGAAGTAAAGAAGCGCGTTGGTCTAAGAGGACAAGACATGGGCTAATGATGGTCTGACATCTAGGGCTTACATGGAAGAACAATATAAATAGGTGTTTGGAAATAACTTAAAGTGTTGGAATGAACATTTGAACAACCGAATATAAATGATTCGTGCTACTTTAGCGGGACTTTTGATAAGAATAGATTATTAATTTGTACCGAACAAGTCTAAAAACCGAGCAGCATAAGAGCCGAGCAACTAGTTAAGACCGACTAGCATTCATATTCGTTTGAATAAAGTAACACTCAGTCAAAATAATCATTAAAAGTCATTAATTGTCAAGATTCTTGCTCAACATTCATAGCTGAGATTCTTATCATAAATATACATAGTCAGTTACAATTCAAGATGTATTATAAATATTTGTATGAAAACCTAGAAATGGCATTCGATTAATACACAAACAGCAATCTTGACATCCTCTTTATAATTTTCTGAGTTTACCTCTATCAATTACCATAAAGGTATACAAAATAAAGAAACTTGTTATTCAAAATCGCTACATATTAGAATGATGTCATAAAACTATCACTAGAACCACTTTTTCAACTTCAAAATTATTTCAGCATAACAATCTTTCCATAACATTCCTTGAATGGGCTTAACATGCTCTTATTAGCAAAGGGATTTAATTTACAATATGGCAACATTTCTTTAAAGGTCAAATCCTCACTATGCTTGCTTTACCATCAAAATAGAAGAATAAAAGGATTGCTTATTTTCACCCATGGTGCCTCAACTATGGGTACCATCACATTGGAATCTCTAGACTTCAATTTATCTTTTAAAAATTTCCGAACTATTATTTTGATAATAAAAAAGTGCTCTTACTCAATTTCTAGGTAAATGGTCGGTTACATGCTGACGTAAAAACTAATTAAAAATAAAAAGTGGCTACAAATTGCCACATCAAATTAAAAAAACTAATGAATAACCAATTATATAATAGGAGAGAGATTCAATTCTCATCTCCATCATCTCTCTAGACAACCAACATCTTCTCACCCTTTCTTTTTAAATTTTTTGACCAAATCTCCATGAAAGTCGACGATCTCGGGCTCTAAATATATCTACTCATCGCAGGAAGCTCATTTGGGACTTGAACGGAGCCCTTTGAGCTCGATGAAAGAGAAATTGTTAAAAAATTTTGGCAATTGTAAAGGAAGCAATTTCGATGATATAAGCCGATGCTGGTCATCTCAGTCCATAAGCTAAGCATCAATTGACTACCCTTTGATGTTCAAGTAATTTCTCTTGAGTAATTTCAAGATTTATGGCTGATTTACAAAACCACAATGAAAGGTGCGTTGTGGTGGCTGTCGAAGCTTTTTCCTACGACATGGCTTATCAACTCCACAAATGGATGTCGAAAATGAACTCCTTGCTAGATTCTGAATGGTTTGGTGTGGGCTTCATGTGGTTCTGATAAGGTTCAATTTTTCAGTCATCATGCTACGGTAGTTTGGTGACTGGTGAGTATCATGTGAGGCTTCAAGAGGCAGTAGAGAGAAGGCACAAAAATTTGGAGAGAGAGAGAGAGAGAGAAGAAAGGAGAGAAAATTTGATGTTTTAAATCTGATGTGGCAATTTCTAGCCACTTTTTATTTTTAAATAATTATAACATCAGTATGTAACCAACCATTTACCTAGAAACTGGTTAACAGTGCTTTTGTGTTATCAAAAAAGTAGTAGGAAAATTTTTTAAGAGATAGATTGAAGTCTAAAACTCTAATGTGATGGTACCAATAGTTTAAATATCGTGGGTGGAAAAAAAGGACAGCGCTCATAGTAACTTTTCATTATGATCACAAGATGTGTGCAATGTAATCGTAAGAAAGTCAAAATAAAGGTTACAAATTATCAAAATAGAAAGTAGTTATACATTATTAATCTTTAGTAATGTCTGTCACTAGCAACTAATAAGACATTTATATATCCAATTTAAAACCCAAAATAAAGACATGAAATAGGGGTGGTTAAAATCCGATTTTTGGAATCGGAACTGTCGGTTCAAAATCAGTTAGAACCAGATCCAGAACTGTGTGGAACCGATTAAAACCAAAAACGTAACCGGAGGTTGTGGTCCAGTTCTGATTCTATGTTTTTCAGAACCATGAACTGACGATTCTTAAAGCTAGTGGGAACCGGCTGGAGTCGAAAGTTGTGACAAATGATTAGAAGTGGTGGTTCTGATGGTTCAAACCGGTGGTTTCAACATTTTTTTTTTTATTTTCTCAAAACATTTTATCAAAATTTCCAAATTAACTCTTATAACAGCTATAAATGGATGGCTATATAATGGCTAGTTTTAATAGTATTGTGCAAGTTAAATTTTTTAGATTTACTATAAATATCCATTGTTTTCATTCATCCTCACACCAAATTATTTCTCTTTGAAATTGTCCAAATTATTCTCAAATACCGGTTAATGCAAGAACTATAAATAAAAGACCGGGATCCCCTATGAAATAGAAAAGATCATTCATACATAGCATAGTTCAAGCGAACCCACTTAAAATCTTTACTGAATTATGACAGGTCATCATATCAGCAAATAAACGTATTCCAGAAGAAAGAAAACTCAAGTTTCTAGAAATGTTTTAGAGAGGGGGGGGGGGGGGGGAAAATTTAAAAAAAAAAATGTTTTAGAGAGGGGGGGGGGGGAAGGAAAAGGGGGGGGGGGGAGGAAAATTTAAAAAAATAGAAAAAAAGAAGAAGATTGAATGAATTATCCTGAACCTGCCTCCGCCGCTGTCGCACGAACCATTTATTATGGCTATAGTATCTCCAATCTCTAATTATTCTCTCTAGTTTTTTTATACTTAATTTTTTCCAGAGTTGCATATTATTATTCTATGATGGCAAGCACAGAAAATTCAAGTTCAACAAAGAGCAAGAAAAAGATTAAAGAAACTCAATTTTTCCAACATTTTATAAATATTTAAATTTTAAACAAAAACTATTCTCTAATTTTTTTATTTTAAAATTACGTGAACCGCAACCAGTTCTAACTATTTCAATTCAATTAAACTGAAACCGTCACTTTTCAATTCTATTTTAGTTCCGCATTATTTGGAACTGGAACCTCACCCCTAGATGAAAAGTGAAGAAAAAGCAACATGAGAAACAGCCCCACCAAATCTTTAAAAATAATAATAAAAATAAAAATAAAAAACTAAGTTGCAGAAACTTATCAGCCAACACGCTAAAGAACATATCCATTGTCGGATTACTAATCAGTCTAATAGTGTTGCAAATGCACTACAGACTAAAGCTACTGACTTTTTATTATGTTTTGTGTATAGCAAATATAATTTAGTCAAAATTTAACTCAGTTCTAAATGCGGCATACAGAAAATTTTCTCAGGCTTGGGTTTATTCTCATGTAGAAATTTGCCAGTAATCATATCAAAAAAGAATGAACAGAACAAATGGACACTCTTGTATAATTGTGTTAGATCGGTCAATAATCTCTTCTCCTGCTGTCGACAAGATCACTGCCAAACTCGTCCTCATCATTTTCACATTGTTCTAAAAACTCTTTATAAGCTGGATTATAAGCAACTGCTGCACGCAGATACTCTACAGCTTCAGCTTTGCGACCTTCAATACTCAAACAACTGAAAAACCCCTTCATACTCAAACAACTGAAAAACGCAAGGTTATTCACTAATTAGTTTAATGAAAAATAGTGAAAAAACAAGTAGAAAAGGCGCAGAATGATTTGAGATGAATTTTTTAAGTTTGTGGAATTCCTAAACTACATGTCAATGAAGACCATTAATCAGATATGGTTGCAAGCGACCTTCAATACTCAAACAACTGAAAAACCAAGTTATTCCACTAATTAGTTTTATGAAAAAATAGTGAAAAAACAAGTAGAAAAGGCCAGAATGATTTGGAAGATGAATTTTTTAGTTGTGATTCTTAAACTACCATGTCAATGAAGACCATTAATCAGATATGGTTGCAAGCCGAAGTGCTTAACATTACTATTCCCAAAATTCATACCTTGCTAGCTTTACCAAACTATCAAAGTAATGGAATTTGCAATTTGGGTCCTCTGGCTCTTCTAAAGCTGCAACTCTTTCCAGATGAATGATTCCTTCTGCGTTCTTTCCCTGTCACATGGAAGGAACCACTGAGAGCATTAAAATTTAAATGCCTTGTCAACCAACCCAAATTGATGGCACGGTAATTCTAAATAGCTATAGAAGTGAATGACATAAGAACATTATTAAACTTAAGAAACTTCACAATGTTTATAGCATCCATTTCACTTGGAAGAGAATCAAAGATTTTGTTACTGAGTTTCACCTGCCGTACACAAGCAACACCAGCCCACTGAGATGCAAGAATTAGAAGACCTATGTACTTGACGTCTGCTGGGTGACCATCATGAAATAACTGATAAAAAGTCAAAAGTCATTTCTGATTAGAGGCGTGCAGTTTGGCATAAAAATTACTTGCATAAGTCAGAGAAGCTAAAGCTAGTTTCAAAGATTCTTAGAAAAATATTATCACAAGATTACTTTGCAATACAAGTATTTATAGTGAGTGGGTGGATTGACAATGCTATAAGTCAAAATTCCATGATAATCATGAATCATGAAAGAAGTAAATTCCTAACCAAGCCAAAGTTGACAAAGAACGGAAGGAACAGGCAATATCGAGTACAGACCTTAGAAATAGCACGCTCCAAATGTTCTGTAGCCTCTGCATACATTTCTTTTTGCAGCAGAATCTGCCCCATAAAAACCAGAGCTTCTACACAGTTAGGGTCCTTCTGAAGTGCCAGCCTGCACCCAGATAATAATGCAATAAAATCACCATAAATGAAGTTGGTATTTAGGAAAAGGACAAGGATTAAGAAGAAAAACGCAAGAGCAAATTACCGTAGCACAGGAATCGCTCTCTCTCTTTGGCCACTGGATACAAGTTGGACTGACAGCTGTCAACAATGTAAAAACAGAAGTGAGAAAATTTAATATGCCTATCCAAGAACCAAATAATGCATCCAGTTTCTATTGTAGCCACTCACAGCAACCAGTTTCTTAGGGCTGAAATTTTCCACACAAACACTGCCACTAATGCTTGGGGAATCCAATGTTGCTGTTTCTGGCATGCCCACTTCTTCATAACCTGCTGATGTTGAAGATTCCTTGGGTGGTAACCCTAATTTTGCACGAACAGCAGGATGTTTGAGGGATAATTGCTGCACATTTAGTTGTCTTATATGAGTAATTGAGAACCCTTTTCTTCTGCTATTTTAGTTCATACCAAACATGAATATACGAAATTCAAGATGAATTCCACATATTCTTTTGGAATTCATTTATAGGAAGCAAGGGCTTAATGTTTCATCTAACAATCCACAGGTTGTGCAACATAAATGAAAATGGGAAACCAAAAAAGAATCTACCAAGCCGTTCCAAACCTTGCAGAGTTACAAGTATGTCTGCTCATGTGATAGTCTTAAGTTACTTTTCTTAGGCCCATAAAAGATAATAACCAACCTGGACCATAGTTAATGAACTATTGGTGACCCAATAAACCAGGCTTCCCTGCAAAATTAAACAGATAAAGACAATTGTGAATCTGCATCAAGAAGAAGGTGAGAAGACACTGCCAAAATAAGTAGAAACCTTTCCGAACTGAAATGCAAATCATCAGAATTATGAGGAAAGCAAGAAGTGACTTGGAGGCCACCCAAAACATAAAGCCATGATCTTTGTTCAATTGGATAACAAATGATTTAAAGTTAAGAAAAAAGGATTTTGCTTGTTTATTTGATGTTAAAATCAGAAATTCCTGTTTGAAGAGTACGTAACTACATCTTAGCTCATTTATTTGTGATCTTTTTGGGCTCTCCTTTCTCGAGTTGGAAAAATAATAACTCCAGCGCAAGGACCTCAACTCTCAATAGGAGGTCGAACCAAGGACCTATGGAAGTCGGGATAATACCAATAAATTAACATGGTAGCAAAACAATTGGATTAAGGGGAAAGCAAGACCGATCAGTAAATTAATACAGGTCGAGTGCAGAGAACAAAGATATAGAAAACTTTTGGTTAGCGACTTTTAGTAATTTTTATCGTTAACAAAAGGACAGGTAACAGATCATGTGATGGAGAGAATCGAAATGTCTGAAGGCTATTTTAATTTAATTGTTAATTAGGCTTCTCTTTAGAGATCTTTAACATTTAGGATTTTAATGTCAAGGCTACCACTGATTGACCAAATCAACCTGCTCCTGAGTTGTACTTGGGACAAAAAGTTAGTGGCTTATTAGTTCAAGTTTTGTGCATCTAAATAGGACAGGCTGATCTCAGCTTTTGGAAGGTTAATAACTGGGACTGATCCCTCTTTGGTCTTCTCTTACTGTGTCTCTATTTCATTTCTCTTGATCTCTCTCTTTCTCCTCTCCTCTCGTCGCCCTTGTAAATCATCATATACACTTGGATTGGCACAAAGAAAATAAATTCCCAAGAATATTCAACCAATTTCAATATTCCCAAGAAGGTTAGTTCAGAAAAAGTGATGTAAGCTCAAAAAAAGAAAATATAAACTCGGATGTAGAGTTACCTGTGGAATAGAGTAGCCAATGAAAAATAAAGGCACAGCCAGAATATCCAAATACAACTTGTAATACTGCAATAAGAAAGCTTCCCATCATTAACAAGTAAAATACTAACAAATAAGGAAAATTAATCTATTTTAACAACCAAATAATCAACCCCTTCAAGATAAAGTACCCAGAAACTAACAAAAAATTACAGGCCACTCACTTTTGCCAATAAGGCCAATATTCCATTTGTCTTTTGAACAGAAAATTTGTCAAAAGAGAGCTGAAAAATATACAAAGTCAGCAAAATGTAAATAATTCCTGTGATGTAAAAAAAAAAAAAAAGCTGCCAGTAAACAATGTCACATGAAATATATTCTAACAAATTTAAAGAGAAAGGGTCAAGAAAATAGAGCAGAAAATTTCTTTAAAAGATAGCAAGTTAAGAGATAAAAAGGATATCAGATGTTAGATTTACATTCAGATGCAGTAACTATTTCTATTATAAAAAAGAATCATAGCTGTCACAAGCCAAATATATTGAGTGCCGACTGTATATTACAGCCTAAAGAGAGGAAGAAGAAGAAAGAAAGAAATCTAAACAAAATTACAGCCACCAAATTCTAATGCACGTAGTAATGTCAAAGGTATATAATTTCATACAATATTGTAATATTTTTAATAATCGTCTCATTGACCAATTTCAAATTTCAGGACAAAGAAAACTATTTAGTTAGGCTACAAAAGAGTTGCACTTTAGACTTACGATTTTAATTTGAACAAGAAAAGAGATGCCCAACTTAAAACTTTTGCTACCCCATCTAGTTCTAAATTTATATAGTTACTGAATAAACATACATGAGCCCATGTCAGCCAAGCATACAATGCTTAAATTTCGAGTTTGTGCATAAAAGATGATTTGTATAATTTGTAAAGAACTATCAAAATCACGTATCCCCGAGCCAAATTAAGCCTGTTATTAATAACTCAGTAATTAGGATAGAACTCGTTGCACTACCACCCAAGTGCAAACAAAAGCAAAGCATCTCTGCTTTGTAAAATATCCTCTTAGGGGATCTGATCCTACAACAGTTGAAAGAGCAGAAGCATAAAAACTAATAAGAGTATGATATACCTGAACATTAGCGTAGTGCAAGCTAGCAATCAGTAATGGAAAGATGGGGCCTAAAACACCGTGAGGAAATTCAGTCAAATTTTGAAACCACAGAGTGCCACCCTGTAATCGATTACACAGAAATTATTTTCATGTAACTAAATTGAAGCAATTAACTCATAAATGAGATGAAGTCCCCATAGAATTACATGTTTTACATATGTCAAACAAATATAAAAATCATATTTGATCATGTTACAAAGCAATTCAAACAACATGTTTCATTTCATTGACTTATTGAAAACATTAAAAAGATATTTAACAAGATAAATTATAAGAACAAATAGGAGATTTGTTTAAAGTTTAAATATCTCACAAAATGTCATTTTCAAGTTAATCCTACAACAAAATGAAATACCATAAAGGTTATTTATATATAAAAGTAATATTAAAATGTTGCAATTAGAGTGTAAGTAATGAGCTTGAAAGCCACTTCCTAGCACCTTTAAATGTCCTGTTCAATTCTGAAAACTGAACATAAATGATATAAATCTGAATGATGACTGCACCATCATAAAATATCAACTTCTATACACTAATGATGCTAGTTCCTTACACATTCAAAACCTGGATGATGATCCAAGGACATTCTTCGAATACTGGTCATCCACAAAAGAAAGCATGGCACCTGCAAATAAATTTAAATAATGAATCAGAAAATTCATGCCTTCCAAAGTTTTTGAATAAAAAATTATAATCTTCCTTTCCCTCCAAGAATACTATAACTAATCATTTTATGAAAGAATGTGATCGAGACAAGTTAAATAATATTTTGTCAATTTGTCATGAAAATGTTTTTGACTTTGTAGCAATCTTTCAGCAACATCACAGAACACATCCTCCTCACCATCATAAATTCTCTTCAAGTCCTCATTCACTGCTTACAATCAGACAAACTCATCCGTATCATATTATAACAGTCGACTATACCTCATCACCTCTGTAGTCATATCAAAGGATTATAATAAGATTTTAATGCTCGGTTAACACTAATGCTACAGGTTACTTAAATCGCAAGGAGACTGTATTTTTCTCAGTTAGGGTAAGTGAGAATATAGTATCTTGTAATAAAGCACAGCAATCCAGTACAATCTAGTTGCCTGGCCCTACTGGTAAACTTTTAATGGCAGAGAATGGGCAAACCAGGTTCAGATTTTATAAATTGAATAAATAATAAATAAGTGAAACAAGCAAGGCCTACAAAGGGGTATAGAAGTGGACAAACCAATACCATTGTCATTTCGTATGCAGCCAATTATACATTTTCAAATTATGTTGTTTCTTTCCTATATAAGGGCAAACTTGATGAACAATGCTAAAGGGACTAATAGTAACGAGTCCCTTGCTGGGCAGACACAACATTCTGGCAGCTAACTCAATATTTGCTCGTAATCCAGAGTGCATATCCAATCTCCTTATCGTTCACTTCTCTTTTCCACTATATTTAGAGTTGCCAAATAATGACTCGACATGAAAATTGAGCAGCTTATTCCACAAGGGCCAAAAATTTTCCATCGCAGAATGTAGTATAAGAAAAAAGATGTGTTGTACCTGGACAGAGAAATACGCAAAAAACCATAAAAGTGAAGGACAACCAATAGCTTTTCGCTTCCTCCGAAAGACTGAAATTTGATCTATGTAACTCCTTCCTGACAGAGGTGGCGGGAAAGGAGGAGGCACTAAGAGAAACATATATGATTTTTTGAAAATTAATCCCAGGTTAATTTTGAATTCCTGAAACTAAATAGAAAATAGAAGATGTTTTATTGCAATACCGCCATTAAAAATTCTCATTTTGGTAAGGTTCAGACGAAAAACTCACATTTAGGAAATAGCTCTGATATCCTTTTCATCTTGTTAAGTTGCAAAACGAGTACAGGGAACAATGTAATTCTCATAGCTACTGTGGCTGAAGCAATGACTATCCACCTGAAATTTTTGCAAATTAAATTAAAAAAAAAAAAAAAAAAAAAATTTAAGTTGCAATACGCGCCATTAAAATTTCTGCATTTTGGTAAGGTTCAGACGAAAAACTCACATTTTTAGGAAAATAGGCTTCTGATATCTTTTCAATCTTGTTAAGTTGCAAAACGAGTACAGGGAACAATGTAATTCTTCATATGCTACTGTGCTGAAGCAATGACTATCCACCTGAAATTTTTGCAATTAATTAAAAAAAAAAAAAAAAAAAAAGAAAAAAAAAAAAAAAAAAAAAGGAACAAACTATTCATCTCTGAATTTTCCATGTTCGCTCATTAATTTTCACTTTTCCTCAGCAATCAAATAGATAACAGAAGCTAAACAAGCTCACCAAGGCAAGCCAGTGAGATTATGGAATCCATCAAGCAAGGAAATCAATGCACGGACGGGAAGAATTGACTCTTCTCCACCACTGCTACCATTAACCACACTCTCAATGACCCCATCAACTTCAAAATCAGTAGGTTTTGACTCAGTAGCCGAATCAACAAAAAACCCCGAGTCATCATTTGAGCGAGTCGAGAACGATCTACCGTTAAGAAAATGAAAAGCAAAGAGTGAGTTGAAGAAGTGAGGCCTGAGTGAATTGTTAGGGGTAATTGGAGGTTGTGAGCGAATAGGGCTAGGATTTGTGAGAAGGTGAGAGATAGAGCCACAAGAGAGAGTAGAAAGATAAGAGAGGGGATATGAACGGCGGAGGTGGGAGAGCAAGAGCTTTGAGCTGGCCATAACAGGCAAACAGCCAGGTTTTTATTACAAAAGTAAATAGGAAGATATTTATGCAGTCCTTGAGGTTTAACAAAATTAATCACTTCATCCTTGCAGTTTAAACATCCCCAAAATTTGATTCCGTAGATCTCTTTGGTCCTTCTGTCAAAAAAATACAATTTTTGCCATTAAATCTATATCTATACATATATAAAAGTAGGAATGGGTGGAAAATATTGGGATTGCCAAAAACATCCTATTTAGTGTATAGATTGACAGCATATCATTAAGAATAATAAAGGTAATTTAATTTTGACTGGTCATATTAATTTCCTATTTAAATCTAAATTCAATTAGATAAAATAAAAAATTATATTATTATCATTATATACTATATAAGGTATATAGTAAACATGGTAAGAATATAACATATTTAGAGATTTTAAATTTATTGGTTGAAACAATAAAGGTAATTTAATTTTAATTGGTATATTAATTTCATATTAAAATCAAAATTTTATTGGATAGACTAAGAAATTATATTACATATTAAATAAACTATGTATTAAATATGGTAAAAATATAATATCTTCAAGGACTTTAATATTATTGATTGAAAAAGTAATTAAATTTTGATTGGTTATATTATACTATATAAGGTACGTGTTAAACATGGTAAGAATATAATATTTTTTATTATTATTTTCAATAAATTTTTAATTTGATTGGTTGTAATTATTTCCTACAAATAATTTATTCTACAAAAAAAATAAATGTAATTTATTATTATTCATTAAGGAAAATATTATAAGATTTATTGTTTGATATAAAATAGAAAATAACACTCACTAGAAATATACATATAAAACTATGATATAACACGTTAAATTAGCAGACCATATAACACATTGAAAGAATTTTTTTTTCCTCAAGAAAAGCAGCCATAAAAAAATTAATTATATGCTCATAGACTTTAGCAAAAAGTTAAAAAAAAAAAAAAAAAAAAAAAAAAAAAAAAAATAAATTATATGCTCATAGACTTTAGCAAAAAGTTAAAAAAAAAAAAAAAAAAAAAAAAAAAAAAAAAAAAACCCAAAATTTCATAAATATGCCTCTAAAACAATGGTTTTAAGATATAATTATTAAAATAGCTAATAGTGGTTCTCATATTATATGTAATGAATAGAGCAGATTATGATAATTATATTATATAGGAAAAATTAAGTATTAAATGTAAATTGGTCCATAAAAAAATTTAAATTGGTTGATAAGTAATTTTTTAATTTTTAAAAAAATTTAAATTGGTTGATAAGTAATTTTATTTTTATGAAAACTTGGTAATCAAATTATAGAAATATTTTATTATTATGAATATATTTTTACTTAACAAGTTATTTAATTATTAAATTTTTTATTGTATTATTTTTTAAAATGTTCTTTTTTCTATTTTGTGAATGCTCTTAATTTTTGTTAATAATATAAACTGTTTGGTAATATTATAATTTACAATAAAATTACATTTACTTGCAACGACAGATGGCAGCGGGGCGGGTACCCGCTAGAAATCAACTACACAAACCCAAACCCGATTGTCAATTCAAGTACCCCTACCCGTTCCAAATCTATTAAGGAATAAACCAACAATACTGAATCCGTTTAGAGCTACCCGTATATTGCTTGAACCCATTTAAATTACCCATTTAATCATAAATTCAATCAATCCATTTGAAAACTGAACCTGTTTGAAACCCGAATCCAAACCTGAATATGCAACATAAAGTATATAAAAAATGTATTAAAATTCAACCTGAAAATAATAAAACAATTCAACCCTAAATAATCACAACAACAATACTAATAATATTAAAATAGAACAAAAATTAAAATTCAACCCAAATAAATAATTCATAGAATCAAACCCAATATCTTGATTAAACAATTTGACAATCAAAAATTCATTAAACTTCAATAATAATAATAATAATAATGACCATTAACCAAATTAAAAATCAATTAAAACATAATAATACTAAACTAGAACAGAACATATAGAATGAGAACTAAATCCATATAAAACATAACAAAATAATATCTTAATAAAAAAGAAAAAAGTTATACAATTAAAAAATGCATTAGAATAAAACAATACTACAACAAAAACACAAGGAATTTTACATAAACATAATATTACTTACTGCATGTAGTTAAATTAATCATTGAATTAACAAGTACAAGTAAAATTTTTGTTTCAAATTCAGCCATCTAACCAGCTTGGTTTCCAACTTAATAGCAACTACATGTAGTAAAATTAATTATTTAATTAACAAGTACAAGTAAAATTCTGTTTCAAATTTAGCCATCTAACTAGCCTGGTTTCTACATTTCATGTCATAACATTATCAAAATATCCATCTGTTGGTACTGCATTTATTATATGAGTTTCAAATTGACTTGTTTCTCACACAAACTGACCAATTTCGCTTCTCTTTTTCTCTTTTAATATATACATTTTCAAGAAATTAATTAGTTTCATTCAACATAACAAGAAGCTTTGAACCTGAAAATGCCTAATCACATTCTTGGACTCCGCACATTTTACATTCCAAGATTTTTGCAATCTGGGGAGAAAAAAAGGGAAGATAAATTCAACAAATACAGCTCCTGTTTCATCTAGGATATAAACATAATAATTTCACCTGAAAAAGTAATCCATTTTAAATGGAAAATAACAAATAAAACATGCACAAAACCCACAAATGAAAAAATAAAACATTAAACATCTATCTTTGTCTCCCTCGGTTAAACCCACAAATTAATTCAACAATATATTCAACAATTCCTCATCTTTGTCCGTTTATATGTATTTATATTAAAAAAAAAAAAGGAAAAGGAAAAGAAACAAAGGCAAAGAAGGAAATAAAATAAATTCAGAATTAAGTAAAAAGAAGATCAAGAATGGAAGTGGAGGAACCTCGCACTGGTAATACGGTTGAAGAGTAAGACTGCTGCGAAGGCGACAGCCGCGAGCGACGGCAGCGATGAGAAGGTATAGAACAATAAGACTGAATAGGGTAGAACCATAGAAGGAGAGAAGAGGAGCAACCTGAGGATCAGGAAGCCATCCCTGACTGACCTCCTCTTCCATAGTCCATGTTGTCGTAACACAGGCAGGCTGGAAGAAACCCTAATTCCTATAGGAGAGCCACCTCACATGGGAAGTGTTTTTACCAACCCCGTTCGACTGAGTCAACTAGGCTTGAATAAAATTTATATTAAAACGACAGAATAAAATTTACTAAAATGCTCTTACATATTAAAACGAAAGCGTTTTATCAAGAACAAAAGTTGGCTTTCTTCCTCACCAACTCCCATTAGATTTTTTCGAAGTTCGTCGTCCACGAACAATGAGATGAATTCTGGAGAGCGAGGATTCAAGTCAATGAAAAGAGGAATTCAAAGCATTATGAAATGTCTTATCATTATTGAATTCAAAGACACCATACTTATCTTTTTCATCCAACAAACACTGAACAAATTTCAAAGGATCCTTCAATCTTTTTGGATTAGTAACTAGTTATTTTCCAGATTTGCCATTAAAGCAAAATTCAACAGATTAGCCATTGAAGCAAAATCAACATCAACAGGACCCTTAAATCACTCTCCAAATTTCAACAGAAAATCAATCCCCAAATTGCAGAAAATCGAAACTTCACCAAATTCGACAAAACCACAGTCCAAGTTCCTCAAAATTTACTGTGAAAATTTAAAGTTAATTTCTTAGAATTGTGACTAATTATAGCAAATCCTCAAAATTCTCAATTTATAGATCCAACTTCAAATCACTCAATTCTTTTATCAAATTCTAAATTGAGGTAAGAATCAAACATAACTCCCACAAAAACACGTATTCAAGCTTACCAGATCAGAATAGCCTCCAGAACAGCAAAACTCAACCAAAGACTTAAAAATAACAAAAATTTAATCCTTTAATTCGTGAAAACGGGAGCTAAATGATCAAACCATGGCAGGAAACATTCTTATCGGGACTGGAGAAACATGATGGTGTCTTGTCTTCACCGACCGGTGGCCGGAGCACGGGCAGAGGGAGAGAAGCAGTAGCTTCTGTCGCGTGTGTGAACCCCTCCCCCCGAAAACACATAGGCATGTGAATGCATGTGACTAAGGGCAGAAATGCACGTGAATGTATGAGTCGCCACCTTGTTTAATTTAGTGAGTCGCCACCTGTAGATTATTTTAGGGCTAAACTAGGAAAAACCCTAAGTGGGACTTCCATTTTTAATTAACTAGATTAATAGATTAATTATCCCAATGATTAAGGCCACAATCTACGAACCCGAGATGGATCCCGAGACCATTTCATCTGATGAACTGACCGATGAGGGGCATGGAATGTTTGTGCAGGTAATATTTATTCGACCAAAATTGAAATATTTTAATGATTTCGACTTGCCGCCCGGGGTAAATCCCGAACGTGCCTACTGTACTTCCGTTTGAATGGAAGAGTCGAAAGTCAACGTTAGTTCGATAGGCCTTTTTAAAGGGCTTTGAATGGTTGTATGCTTAATGCATGAGTGTGTATGCTTTGTGAATGATTGTGTATGTAATCCTTTCGTGCATTTTGTTTAGCCGATTTTGCTGAAGATTGATTTGATTTAGCAACTTCGTGCCAAAGTGGTGAGTTCGAGGCTTTAGCCAGGAGAATTGATTTGGGCTTATTCTTACAAAGTGATTGGTTTGGCTGATGGTTGCCAACAATTGTTCGTTTTAAGCTCTTAGCCAAAATGAGTTGATAAGGCAATTAGTTTCCAAAATGGTGTTCGGGCGATGTCGCCAATTGATGATTTTATTGAAGGCATTTGCCAAAAATCTGTCAATTTAGGCAATTAGTTTCCAAAATGATGTCGATGTGATCTATAAACAATTTGTTTGCTAAAAATACAGTTTAGGCGATTTCGCCAAAAATAGGTGATTTTTAAAGGCTTCTTACCGAAAATAGCAATTTGTTTGCCAAAAGTGTGATTTAGGCGATTGTCGCCAAAGATTGATTTTAAGGCCTTTGGCCAAAATGTTTTGATTTAGGCCAATTAGTTGCCAACAGTGCGATTTAGGCGATTGTACGCCAAAATGGTTATCTTACGGCCTGGGCCAAATTGACTTTTTTAGGCCAATATAGTTTGCCAAAAACGCGATTTAAGCGATTTGTCGCTAAAATTGTTAATCTCATTTATAGGCAATTTGTTTGCCAAAATTTGATTAAGCCATAGGCAATTTGTGCCAAAGTGATCGAATAAGGCTTTTTAGTCACAATTAGTTATTAATTGAACTTAAGCCGAATTGTTCGAAAATAAGCAGTTGAACCCGTAGTATTAATTAACAAACTCTTTCAGCGAATATTGCGGATTTAAGCTTTTAATGCCACGTTATAATTAAACCGGACGTTTAAGCTTATGCGTATTTATTCTAAGACAGTTGTATTTGTCTAAATGATGATGTGAAATTGCCATTTATGCCCAGTTATAGAATATTTAAGAGTAGAAAAGAAAGTAGTTGCATGAAGTGCTAAAATTAAATAGCAGAGTGTTGTTTACTACCTGATTTAATCGACGACCACTTCTTAACTCCAGGGTTAAAGCTCCTCGTTTAGGTATATTAATAATTTTAATTTTATTTAATTTGTGCGTCAAATATCATTAATAAAATGCAATAAAAAATCTAAATTAAATGCATAAAGCGGTTAAAGAAGGACGCAAAGAGCGAGGAGGAGGGAGAGGTTTCGTTCCCTCGTCAACACAGACCAGAGTACCAGAAATAGGCTGAAAATGGCCTATTTATAGGCAATTTCGGGTCCCGGCGGCAGGTGCCGCCCAGGTTGGGCGGCTGCTGCCGCCGTGCTTGGCGCCGGCGGCCGCTCGCCGTGACCGGCGGCAGGCGCGCCGTGCCGGTGTGGACACCGTTGCCTCGCTCCGGGAGGCCTTTTTGGAGTGCCGGACCTCCGAAAAATATTCCGGACCTTGTTCCGCGATCCTCGCACATTTTCGGACGTTCTTAAGTACCATATTGACATATTTTCGGTGAACTTCTGAAATAGCCTCCGTCCGGCCGGACTGTTTTCAGTCCGGGGAAATAACAGCTTTCTGAGCCTCAAAATTTGTGGGTATTCCACAGTTGCCCCCCACCGGACCAAAAAAATGATGTTTATGGGAGTCGGTGTTGTCTGAAACGTAAATGTTGTAGCGAAAATGGACGCGTCCAGAAGGACCCGCCTACGTGACTATTTGCTTATTAAAATCAGCTTGAAAAAACTCATTTTCATTCATTCTATAACTTCTAAACCTTAAGGAACTCTCTCAATTCTCTCAAACTTCTAAAGCTCCAAATTTTTTTTTTTTTTTTTTCAGGGCTCCTCTGATCTGAGCGTGAGGATACCGGAGTCCGGATCCACTTGACAGTCAACCTTACGGCGGACCTAACAACTTACGCCTTCCGTAACAGGCATCTTCGCCCAGGTACCCTCCCTCTTTTTTTGTTTTTTTTAGGGCTGACAAAATGGGGATTGTGATTTTTCGGCCTGCCTATGGCCAGAAAGAGAACTTTGCCTTCGTGGCCTGAATTGCTTTTTCGGCCTTAGGCCGAATTGTGAATTGTCGGGCCTTTTCTTTTTGTCTACTCTTTCATTCTATGGCTTAGAGTGTGATTTTCGGCCGTTAGCCGAATTTGTATTTTCGGCCTTAAGGTCAAATTTTGTGAATTTTGGCGCTCTGCGGCCGAATTGTGATTCTCGGGCCTCTGTGGCCGGAATTGTGAATTTTATTTTTCTGTATTTGTTTATTTAGTATGGCATGCTAAGATATTACCCTATAAAGAACCAAAGGAAAATTCTTATATTACTTTACCTTTTAGTATCCTTACATAAATTGATGTGGCTGAACCCTATGTTCGAAATCACCCCGATCGAAGATATTGGATCCGACCACCCGTCGGGGCAATTCATCAACCGTCCCGTCTGTATTACTTGAAGCATTTGAGCTGGCCGAAATAAGCCACAAGGAGTTGCTGGGTGCTTTGGCCGAGAATGTAATACTACTAACACTTTTCATTTTCTTGGGGCGAGATGGACAATGACCCCTGTGAGAGTTTTCTGTGATTACCGGAATCCCTTTTGTATCGGACGATTGAATTAGTAATGATGACTGGTGAGGACCAGAGATTTCCCCTGATCGGATGCGCAGAATTGACCTGCCTCGGATTTCGGGCCAGGCTCTGCTACTCCAGCTTCGATGTTATCCAGGCGCTGGCTATATCGCCAAGGCCCCCGGCATTATATGACTAACAATAGGCGGGGAGGGCTGACGGACTACTTAATGGCCAGATTCACTTATGTTGCTGATGATTGCTTCGACCTTTTGGTCCAACAGGAAAGAAAGGTTAATCCTTCATATCTTGAAGTTAAGAAAAACCTAGCCATCTCCACGGTACGACAGGCCCGGCTATTCTGACCGTATGTATGATGACATGGTATAATCTGAGTCGATTCCACCGTGGTAAACTTAGCGGACCTATTACTTACTGGGAGATAATCGAAGAACATTCTGATATATTTTTCTATTTTATTAGCCCTCTTTTGACTCTCGTATTCTTCTTGGTTGCCCAGGATCATTGGGCAGTTGATATTTCCCTTACCACTCGCCCGGAGCAGATTCATGCAAGATCTCGGATTAGGGCTGGTACCTTTGGCTTGGAGATGGTACCGAACACCGGCATACCAGTCGGCATAAGCACTCGCTAAAAAGACCTGAGAAACCTTTTTTGAATACATGTAGCCCGGCGCAGGTATGTGATTCAGTAATTCTTGAATACGTTGGAATAAAAAGAAGATTTATCAACATATTGCCATCTATTTTTAGGTTCGAGGGGGCGATGGCCATTCGCCTAACATAGCTGGATCCAGGTTGATCCTCAATTATCCAGCCGCGAGGACTTTCTCGCGAAAAGGATTATCCTGTTCGCATCCCGTCCTGAGACATATTACTTGGCGAGAGAGAGAGTAGACTTTTTTAAATAAGAGGCTGTTCGTTCCATCCTACCTCCTCCCAGGAATGCGACGGGCAGGCAGATCGACTCTCACCGGATGACGCAACTAGAGTATTCCGTATGGAGGAGCTTCATCTTGGAGGAATATGCTGAGTTCTGCAAGACTCTTTCTGATGCAGCCTATTGGATCGCGCTTTGACAATTTTCAGAGATCAGGTCCTTTTCCATCAGCCCGCCACCCGACTCTTCTCGGGCTGCGGTTTTCGAGTAGGGATCACAAAGAGGAGCCTACGACTGATCCGTCTTCTTCTACTCGGGCTTAAAGTTTCACTCAAGCCGCCCTAGCCATCGGCGGACCATTCCAGGGCTCCCCGGGCATGTACAGAGCTACCAGTCCTTCATTCAGACTTGGCCAATTTACATCTTCACGTACAGCATTTTCCTACCATACTCCTGACAGCCTTTCGAGAGTCTCGCTGGAAAATGTGATCGCCCTGCTCTGCCCTTCTGAGGACATTACTCGAGGTAAGTAAAAACTGCTAAAATCTCTCACAAAAACGATTCATAAGAGATTTGACGTTGATTTGCATGTTTTTTTATAGGTTCATTTGGAGTTGATCAATTCAGATGATGGAAATGATGCTCGGGATGCAACAAGAACTGTCTTCGTCCTGGGACTCGTGAGGCTTACAACGATCAGAGAAGCAGAGCCCTTCGCTAAGCCATGATTGCCGGATTTTTCTATTCTTCTTTCTTTCATTTCTTGTCTGACTACTGTACTAAACTTGGATCTCTTCTGTACTGTTACTGTACTGAGTTTATTTTGTACTCCACGTGTTAGTATGGGAAATATATGTATGCAGCTTATTGATTTGAAAACAGAAATGGGAGGACTCATCATTTTGGCTTATGGACAAAATAACACTCCTTTCTTTTTTTTTTATGCGTGGCCGCCGCGCCGCCGTCATTCAGTGGCCAATTACATGGCGGCGCTGCCGCCGTCATTCAAAGCTAAGGTGCAAATGCGGCGGCTGCGTGCGCCCTCATTCGGTGCATTCGCGCTATTGGTAAAGCTTGGTTTCTTGTGTCGCTTCTGTTGGCACTCATCCTTATCTTCTTCTCTTTCTTTTCTCTACTGTGTTTATCTTTTCCAAAGATAAATTCCTTCTT